GGTAACCATAACAACACTTTCAGTCTCAAGCTCCGAGTCCTTAATACGTCTACAAGCCAAGAAGAAGAAGAAGAAGAACTTAGCCTTAGGTTTCGTTGCTTTGCCGTGACGTGGTCCACATTGAGGTGCCAATGGGAAGGTCAGTCAGCTGGTTGAAGATGGACGGTGTCTTCCGCTCAGATGGACACACCCTGGTTAAGGCACGCGTGACCCATACCTACTGCCAACTGTGTAATACTTTATACACGGTCTCCTCGTTTGTCAGATGGTTGGGTTTATTAAATGCGAATTTTTAAAGTGATTTAAGGCATTTGACCTAAGATTAAGGAATTAGTATTTGAGGTTTTCAAGGCGGCTGTCCTGGTTTGTAGCGACGTGTAGTATGGCAAACGATTGCCGACGTTTCAGAGGCAGTTACTGACTGCCTTCATCAGGGTAATCGCCACAACAATCCTCGATGCGTTCATGGATCTGGCTTCATTTGGGCTCAAATAAAGGGAATTTGGGCGTAGGTTGGGGCACGAGTAACATATTTCAAGATAAACTTCCGGGCCGGGTCGGGTGAGACTCCAGCAATTCGTCCCTTGCAGATCGAACCCCCTCCCCATGTCCTAACTCTTGAGTTGAAGCCGACCGGAGCCCTGAGGTTACTGTCACGCTCTTTTAAGACAGTCTTTTGTTTGTTTGCCGCTCTACAGCGTTCTGTCAGCTCGCAGAATTTATTGTAATTCCTTGCAAAGCTTTTAAATTGCTCTGGTCTTGCAACATTATAGCGGATGTAGACTGCGGTGTTACGCGAAAGCAATTAGAATATTTTAACGGTGAATTATTTTCAATACCACCGATTCATATACTACATTCGAATTTCTTACGAGCCCGTGGTCATTGTAACGACTTCAAGATGTTCAACAGGGAAAGTTCTTATAGGCTGCTGGATGGTTTAACCCACGAGCCGCGATGGCTCAGTCACTAAAATAGAGTGGATTCAGTCTCAACGACCTTGGTTCGTATCTCAGCACTCCTCCACTGTATCCGGACTGACTCTCGGTCCCGTTCGTTATGTTCCGTGGGTCCCAGGGGCTGCTCCCCCGAACGTAAAGCGGCCGTACTGTGAACCTGACTCACCTAGTGCGGAGGTTAGGAGGCGGTGGAGCCTTCAGCTCCGCTTCTCTATACGTCTTTATGGGAACCTAATACTCAGGAAAATATTGCTACTTAAGAAGAGAAATCCGTGACGTCAGATGAGGAGGAACTTGGTCATTTTCGCAGGTCACCCAATACTGTGAGGAAAGTGACATGTAGGAGGCTAGGTCGAGACATTCGTGCAGAATTTTGGTGGTAGGACCTATTAGAAAACGTTTAGTGGGAAGACCTAAAGAGGGGTGGGAGGATACGCGTGAAATTAATCTTGGGAGTCAGGTTGTGGGGGTTGGGGGTTGGAATGGGGATTCGAAATGAGGTGTGTTGAACCTCCCGATTCTGCTTCCACCACGCCACACTGCGGAGTAACGTGTCTTCAGATGAGATTAATAATTGATAGGCTAAGTGCAGTCCTCCGGCCATGCGCTAACACTCATTGCCGCTAGAATCTGCAATCTTGGCCCTTCTTTTAGCGTGCGTGCGTTCCCATGCGTGAAAACGCAGCGGTAGAGTCTTGCGTAATGCAGCGCCGGAGTGCGTGCATTGAATAAGAAGATAAATAATTCATAAGATTCGCAGTAATTCAACTTCAAGAGCCTCAAAGAAACATTTGAGGGCCAACATCGCGCCCTGACCCCTTTGAAGGAACTCTTCAAATCGCAGATACAACAACTCGGCTGTGCCACATAACAATACAAATTCGAAGGTTAGCTCAGTGTTTGCATTAACATCGGTTTTGTCTGATGCACTTAACACCTTACTCTTGTGCTGGTTTTCCGTTTCCGTGTAGAATAACGAAATTTAACACATCATTAGCCTCGCAGTTGATGGCTCATCACGAAAATAGATCCGTCATGGGGGCTTTGGTTTCCTAGGAGATTTTGCAGAAAGTCTGCAAGATAATTGGTACGTGGGCCTCTCTGCAAGGTTTGTACAGTTTCACAAAACACGAAATCAGGCGCTTTTTCTCCCGACTTGGGGCCTGCACTGTGCGCACGCCCCGCCAACTTGTAAAGTCATTTTTGAGGCGTCCATCAGTTGAAGACTGAAATACTCTTCTGAAGGTCACATAAATTCATCTCAGATCGACAGGGGTGCCTTCGTTAGGGCATCGATGGGAGACGGAACTTGTGTCGTTTGTTACAGACGTTTCGGCATAAAGAATTATAATTTTAGGCCTACGTCAGGAATCGACAGGTTGCGTCATCTTGAATGGGATTATTCCATATGTTTATTTTGTATTTTTTTTGCGCCTGACTGTACATACACCAGAGGTAGGTTCGGGATGCGACCATGTTTGCCTTGACCCACCACAGTGGTAATTGTTACGTGTGTCCATCCTGTTTGGGCCATTAGCGTTAGCAGTCACATCTCCAGTCAACTCGTCCGTGGTTCATTGCCTGTCT